TATATGACAGTTACAGATAACTACATTGTCTGCAAATTCATTAAACCCATAGAATATAATGATGTTATGACAAATATGAGAAATTCGTTATGGTGGTAGGCCTATATATTCCACATTTTAATTATTTAGGGAATAGTGCATCTGACCCTTGATCTAAATAGTTCTGTCTTAAATCAAATGTTGTATATATATTTCAACCCAATTACACAAGACATGTATGACCACTTGAACCGAATCATATAGGCTACTTTTTTGTTTGTTTAGATAAATTGCTCAGAGAGGTTTGACCAACCAGTTAAGACAGACTAGGTTATTTATTTGTACAAATCATCCAAGCACCCCATTCCTAGCCATTTCTAATATACATTTGATTAATATGACTAAATATTATTAAATTGTAAAGAAATTGCAGATCCATCTTTGATTGTCAAAGGAACAGGTGCAGTTCCCTCTTAGCCAATTAGATTTCATAGCATTTTCATCTGTCAGTTGTGGAAGTCTGATTGGTTGATAACTTTTGACAAGGTTTAGTCATTAGTTTAGTTATTGTGTTATAGAGGGGTTTGATCAACCAGTTAGACAGACAGATTACTAGGTTATTTATTTGCACAAATCATCCAAGCACCCCAAATCCCAGCCATTTCTAATATACTTTTGATTAATATAACTAAATATTAAATTGTAACGAAATTAAAGACCCATCTTTGATTGTCAAAAGAATTCCAGCTAATTAGATTTCACGTAGCATTTTAATCGGTCAGTCATGGAAGTCTGATGTGTTGATAACTTTTGACAACGTTTAATCCAGGTGCGAAAATAATTAATTTCTAGCGCAAGTGCTTGGAGAGATTTGCGAGTGCAAAGGACACAGTTTGAGCGCGCACACTTTGAGCGCGAGGAGAGATTCGCGATGGAAACGGACACGTTTTAAGTGCGCGCACACTTTGGGCGAGAACAGCGCATATCTGAGAGCGCGCGTCCGGTTTAGTGCGAGAGCAAAGGAAATCCGCGTGTGAGCGGAGGGATTCGCGCTCGCGCATCATAGCAATGTACTTTAGCGCTACAACAGTGCGCTCTCGACATTTGGCAGTAAAATAACGCCATAGGTCAGAAGTTAACTTTTCCATTAAGGGCAATATTTGCAATCTGCAATTGATTTTAATTGGCTTCTTTTTTTTTTTTTTTACATTGGTAAGGGACAATTACGTTCACAAGTAGTACAATTTCTCATTTCAGTGGATAAAAACAGACTTAGAAACACACACACACAGGTAAAAGTCAAGGCGGTTGATTTGTGTGTGAGATTTGCATGGCTTGGCACACTTTCCCTAAGCAAAGTGTTAATCAGCCATCCCATCTCTTAGACACCTACTGAGAAAATCCTTAACATGCAAAACATGTTCGCTTCCATGTCTTCACACAGATGAAGCATGTGACGGAGCTAACAGTAGATATGTACACTGATCTCGGCACTATTTGCAAATTCCTCATTTATTTATGTAAATAACAGTGCTGCTGCAGTTCCTGGAACCAGAACAGTGTGTCTTGTGTCTCTGTGGGTTTGTGTGTAAAAGAATGTCCATTTCTTCGGTTCAGTCAAATTAGGAAAGAACAGCCACTGAAATAGTTGAACCTCTTGTATCATTAATATGACATATTTGATATGTGTCTACTCTAGCTTCACACTTCTGAGCAATCACAAAGACTTTCCTGACAAATTTGTCAAGGACCAGATTGTCTAAGTAATTAATTAGTAATGATATCCACATTATTTTTAGTCGAAACAACTGAGACAGTTGATACATGAATTAAGTCTTAAGGGCTGTGGAGGCAGAAAATGCATGAGGGGTGAAGAGATTCTGTTGCAATGAGAAGGAGAGGGTAGATTTCTATCACATGACTCCAGCACATTTGTGCCACAGAAACACTCAGCAGTGACGGGTCACCTTCCCCTATAAACACACTCAAACAAACCCTTCCGCAGCATTCTGTCTCACTCTTCTACTGCAAAATGACGTCTTCTACCACCCTCTTTATAGTGAAGACAGCAGAAACTTTCCATTGTTTTTATAATAAGCTAATTATGTTTTCACCATGAGTACAAGAGCTCAGGTTACAAGTTTTGCTCATTTTAGTTTAGTTTTTCTGCCTTTTTTAGTTGATGAACATCTTTTAGTTACCCAATTGAAGGGCTGAGTCCTTATTTTTGTAATTACTGTCTTTGTGTGTGCTACATGAGAACAGATAAATAGTATTTAATATAGTGTTTCATTTAAACAGACTCAACTGACCGTTTCACAATACAATAGGCATTGTGATACAATACCGTCATTTAACATACAGTACTGCATCGCATTACAGCATTATAAATGAACTGCAACTCAAAATACACCAAATGTGCAGAAGAGTGTGAAATGGGCCGGTCAAACAAAACAATGATTTGAAAATACTACACAATGGTTACACTCTCCAGGAAGTCATTTTACCAATGGCTGTCTAACAGATGACACTTAACATTAACCAAAGTTAAATCTCTGTGTGTGTTTGTAAGTGAGCACATACCTCAATATCATTTGCCTTATTGTAGTGCATGTTGAGCACTTTGTAGAGCTCTGAATCACGGCTCACAATGATATCATCAACTGCTGCCACACCGTCATTTATAGCCTGCCTGGCAAACTTCTCCATCTGGATGTAGTAGAACTCTCTAAAGTTACTGAACCACTTTATCAGCTGAGATGTGATGCACCTGTTAAACTGAAACACAAAGAGTGTTAAATACTAATTAGTTAGGTTTTAAAGAATCTCTATCAGTCTGCACTCACCTTCACATCACAGAAGTACATCTTGAGCATGCTAGAGCTTGGGTACCTGGTGTAGAAGAACATCAGTTTGGCCTTCTTCAGGTGATTTGGGGACAGTCCCTCCTGGATTTAACACTAGCAGTAAAGGAAAATATGCCCAGTGCTAAGATTTGCTTGACATTATCATCTCATCACTCAAGGTGTCGGCTCGTCACGTTCAATAAAACATGAAAAACACCACACCAACATATTTTACATCAGAAACTCATTTTACAGGCAAAGCGGGCAACGTCTTTCCCTGTGCCCTGATCCCAAACCTCCAGATGTCAAAGAGATAAAGATATCATTTGCATATCACCTTCAAATGTGTTTGTAACCTTCATTTTAGCAGGGACAGAACACAAATATAGCGGTAAAGGTTTTGGGAGGATCTTTTGAGCATGGCAAGTTAGAAAAGTTTTTCATAGGTGACAATAATCTGATCCGACATTCTTAAAAATAAATCATTATTAGAGACTTTTTGTAGTGAATCAGGATAAGGCAAAAAAAATAACTGGTTTGGAATTAAATTAAATTATAAGCAAACAAACAAAATAAAACTAAGTAGTGTTGCTGATGTTATTAAATAAATTATAAAGGTTTACTATGTCAGACCTTGAAGGGGAAACAGCTTGGCTGTCTGCCAACGCTGCACATTTTCCTCCATACTTTCAGCATTCATCAATAATCAATTTTTATGATAAGCACATTGGAAGTTCAAACTGCACTGTGTGTGACACGCCTGCTATTGTCCTGCATTGACCTCTGCCAGACAACAAAATGGCTGATTGGGCAAATTTTCCAGACAAAGAGGACTGTGCTGCCTCCTTTAAGGCCTCTCTGAGCTCTGACATCCGCGCAAAGCCTTACAAAAAAACTCAACCACTGCCAATATAAAATCGGACAGACAGGGGAGTATATCTGCTTAAAATGCCAACAGCAAGTGAATCCAAATTGTTCAGGTTTATCTGACTAAGAACTTAATATCACATATAGACCCAGTCCACCTAATCCACTACGTAGTCCACTATGTTTAAAGGTCACTGTTTGAGCATGCAAAATTATTTTGTACAAGCTTTAGGCCTCTGTTTTTAACAAATAATGAGCTATACAAAAAAAAAATAAAAAAAATGCTTGATTCTGATTGGTTGAAAGACTCCACAGCTATCAAGAACATAATAATTATGTAGCACAAAGACCACTCTTTAGTTAAAAACCTTGCGACTGCAAGAACTAACTTTTAACTCTGTACAACTGATATTATCAGAGTTACTGGTTGCTGGTGCATGGGTACCTTTTCAGAACTCCTCTTAGCGGTGTAGAAGAACATCAGTTTGGCCTTCTTCAGGTGATTTGGGGACAATCCCTCCTGGATTTAACACTAGCAGTAAAGGAAAATATGCCCAGTGCTAAGATTTGCTTGACATTATCATCTCATCACTCAAGGTGTCGGCTCGTCACGTTCAATAAAACATGAAAAACACCACACCAACATATTTTACATCAGAAACTCATTTTACAGGCAAAGCGGGCAACGTCTTTCCCTGTGCCCTGATCCCAAACCTCCAGATGTCAAAGAGATAAAGATATCATTTGCATATCACCTTCAAATGTGTTTGTAACCTTCATTTTAGCAGGGACAGAACACAAATATAGCGGTAAAGGTTTTGGGAGGATCTTTTGAGCATGGCAAGTTAGAAAAGTTTTTCATAGGTGACAATAATCTGATCCGACATTCTTAAAAATAAATCATTATTAGAGACTTTTTGTAGTGAATCAGGATAAGGCAAAAAAAATAACTGGTTTGGAATTAAATTAAATTATAAGCAAACAAACAAAATAAAACTAAGTAGTGTTGCTGATGTTATTAAATAAATTATAAAGGTTTACTATGTCAGACCTTGAAGGGGAAACAGCTTGGCTGTCTGCCAACGCTGCACATTTTCCTCCATACTTTCAGCATTCATCAATAATCTATTTAAGATAAGATCACACACTGAAAGTTCAAACTGCACTGTGTGTGACACTCCTGCTGTTGTCCTGCTCTGACCTCTGCCAGACAACAAAATGGCTGAGTGGGCAAATTTTCCAGACAAAGAGGACTGAGCTACCTCCTTTAAGGCCTCTCTGAGCTCTGACATCAGTGCAAAGCCTTTTGTGTGACTGTCAAACAAAAAAAACCTCAACCACTGCCAATATAACTTTGGACAGACAGGAGAACTTTTATCTGCTTAAAATGCCAGTAGCAAGCAAATCCATGTTGTTCAGGTTTATCTAACTCAGAACTACATTTAAAGGTCACAGTTTATTATTTTGTACTATAAATAATAAATACTGTTGGATGCTTGAATCTGATTGGTTAAAAGACGCACAGCTATCAAGAATTACAGAATTATTTAACCAGTTTAACAAAGATCACTCTTTAGTTAAAGGGGTCATCGGATGCCCATTTTCCACAAGTTAATAAGATTCTTTATGAATGAAAAGACTTAATGAAAAGTCTATAACATACTTTGGTTAAAATTTTTCACAACTTCTATATGTTTTCTGACTGATTTTATCCCTAAAATGTTCTACTTACAGACTAGAGAGACTAGAAATGGGTTCCATCTAGGTTTGCTATGTTAACAGCTGCTATCGCACACCATGTGTAACCTGAATAGCTTCATGGACTGATTGAATTATGTGACAGTATTTTGTGACAAAATGCAGGTACACTTTAATGCATTTTGCACACAGAACAATAAAAACAGCAGTTGCATTTTGTCAATCACGTTTTTTTGTTCACAAAGTTCAGCACCCAAAATTTAAGTTATTCTTACCATTGTCCGATGAATTTGTCCATAAAATGAAAGAGCAATTTGCTCCTGTGCTGTTTGACTATTGATTAACATTAACATGAGCTATCATTTTAGAGGCGAAGCAGTAATTACATTTTAATTAAATATTAATTAATAATTAGATAAGACTTTATTCTAGGGAATAATGTGCCCTGAGATGACACTTAACATTAACCAAAGTTAAATCTCTGTGTGTGTTTGTAAGTGAGCACATACCTCAATATCATTTGCCTTATTGTAGTGCATGTTGAGCACTTTGTAGAGCTCTGAATCACGGCTCACAATGATATCATCAACTGCTGCCACACCGTTATTTATGGCCTGCCTGGCAAACTTCTCCATCTGGATGAAGTAGAACTCTCTAAAGTTACTGAACCACTTTATCAGCTGAGATGTGATGCACCTGTTAAACTGAAACACAAAGAGTGTTAAATACTAATTAGTTAGGTTTTAAAGAATCTCTATCAGTCTGCACTCACCTTCACATCTGAGAAGTACATCTTGAGCATGCTGGAGCTTGGATACCGGGTGTAGAAGAACATCAGTTTGGCCTTCTTCAGGTGATTTGGGGACAGTCCCTCCTGGATTTAACACTAGCAGTAAAGGAAAATATGCCCAGTGCTAAGATTTGCTTGACATTATCATCTCATCACTCAAGGTGAGCAATTTGCTCCTGTGCTGTTTGACTATTGATTAACATTAACATGAGCTATCATTTTAGAGGCGAAGCAGTAATTACATTTTAATTAAATATTAATTAATAATTAGATAAGACTTTATTCTAGGGAATAATGTGCCCTGACCAGGAACATTTTTAAGACGTAAATAGTAAGTGAACCCCCCCCAATTTATTACTTTTCGTAATTCCCAATGTATGTATATAATGCCAAAAGAAAGAACGAATGTCTAGAGCATTTTTAATATAAATAAGCACCAGTTAAGCTGCGATACCAAAGAGGCCAATAAACCTGCTGCTTTAAACTGACTGTACATGCTACTATACGGATCCATTCAGAATAACTAAACCACTGTCCAGCGCATAATCTAAAACACCTTCAGCCGGCATTCATTATAAAACACTTGTGCTATTAAGCCAAATACACGCTGAAAAAAATAATTTACTGCCATCTGGATGCGAGTCACTATTCTCTCCGCCATCTCTGATTAAATCGTCCGTGTTTTCTTTGCATTAGCGCTGTTTTGAACTTATTACTAATGCATTCCCTTACTGGAATCTTGAACTTTCCAGAAGTTTAACGGTTTCAAATGACCTCCTGGATAGTGTGCTTTATAGTGTCATTTCTATTCACCCAGACACTGACACTTTGACTCAGTACCGGCGACATGTCAGAAGTGCCGGTACACACGAAAAAGTGCGGGTACGCTAAAGACTATAATATTGAAGTACTGCGTACCGGCCCACTTCAAGCACTGCTTTTACTGAAAAGGATATTGTACAGCCTGAGTATGGAGAGATGTCTGACATGTCCTGGAGGTCCCCACATTCAGGTTTGATGAGTGACAGCCCTTCAGCAGTGCTTCTTGGGAGAACTGGTGAGCAAGAATGGTTAAGCATCAGATGCTGGCTGGAAGCCATTTTTGTTCGTAAGCTGGTGGTCTCCCTTGACAGATCCATTAAACCAGGAGAGTCTTTACTAGAATATCCTGTTGATGAGGCACCTAGTGTGCTCTGAAATGAGTAACCCACAAGAGGAAGTGAAAATGGATGACGAAATGATGATGGGGAGATGAAGCCTGTGTTTCCAGAAAGAGAAGAAGGATGTAAGGAGGGATGAGGGTGACCATTCTGAGCTCCAGGATCTGAGGACTGGTGGTGTTCGGATGCAGACTTTCGTACTACCAGTGGTAGTGCCTCCGTCTGATCGTTGGCACAAGGAAGAGGGACCCCGACAAACGAGTCAAGTGGGCTGGGAAAGACAACATCACCAAAGCACTGCAGTCTCTGATTAGCAGTGTGGAAGTTTGGGTTGTTTCCGTTAAAAACAAAGTGGTCCTCATTTGCTGGGAGTGATGGGAATACTTGTAACGGTGGCCGTGGAGGTTTCGAAAAAACATTCACCACAGTGTCTACCACTTGAGACATGGCAGAGTTTAGCTCCTGCTTAAGGGTTTCTGCCAGACGTTTGCCTACTTCATGCATAGACATCAAACCTTTGCTCCTCAAAGAACCTTCCTGTTTGGCCATCTTTCCATCCAGCAATACTTGTTCACGGTGCAGGGCCTTCGCTTCATCCAGAAAGCATCTTGGATCCAAGTCTGCTATCTCATTATCAGATCGATCAGCCACAGAATTTTGAACGAGATATTCATTGATGCCACCATCACCTAACATCCCATCAGATCGTACACTGTCTTCTGAGAGATTCCCTCCATCTGCTTCAGAATCTGTGCTGTCATAGATCTGGAAGAACTTTTCTTGAAACTGTTTCAGCTGTTTCTGCATGTCTTCCAGCTGTAGTTTCAGCTGCCTGCGTTCCTCAACCTTCTGCTCTTTATGTGTGGAAACCATCTGCTGAAAGCTATGCTGCTGCTGCTGAGGTAATTTTTGTTTCCTCTTGTTCTCACGATTGCTTTCTCTTGGACTGAAGGACTGTGCGGTAACGTTGGTTTCTCCCTCTAACTCCCGCTCACAATCCTTTCCACTAGAAATAGAGGTTGCCATCACATTTGGTAAGTGGTTCATTCCACGAATGATATTCTCGACACGAGCACGCTTGGCCTGAAGGTGCTCTTTATTTAGCCGCTCAGAGTCCAAGTGGTCCAGTGAGATTTTTCCAAATGGTGAGAGACACTCTTCAGCGCTCTCCTGGGATGAGTTGCTGCAAGTGTCCTCCTGTAGTAGTTCAGGTTCTGCTTTCCTGGGGACCACTGACTCCCTGCCTCCTGTTCCTCTCATTGCCTTATTGCTCTTCAGTAGGTTTGTGATGATAGTGGCACCAGAAAAGGGTATCATGTTATCCTCATATGAGCTGCCCCTTTTAAGCAGTTTGCGGAGAACATCTGATTTGGCCTCACCGAGCTGAGCCCCTTGGCACTCAAGCACATCCTGCTTCTTACATTGACGGGAGTTCATGGCATCAAAGGCTGCACGGTTGACAGTGATGATGGCAGAAGCTGTTTGTGTTGATGAGGCAGATGAGCTAACAATTCTCTTCACTCCAATGTCCACTCGTCTTCTTTTTGTCAGTCGATTCAGATGGAACTCTGTATCATGGTCTGGCATTTCTGGTGCTTCTACTGACCCATTTCCAACAAGCCTGAACTTTCACACCTTTATCACAGTCACCTATGGACAGAAAAGTGAGAGAAACACAAAATAATCTAGCGTCTTTCATTCTGGAATCATAATATTTCAAATTTCAAAACGTATATGCATTTTTAATAAAAAACAAAAAAATACCAAATATAAATTCTAAAACAAATATCCACCCAAAAAAAAAGAAAGAAAAGCTGTTTGTGTTGATGAGGCAGATGAGCTAACAATTCTCTTCACTCCAATGTCCACTCGTCTTCTTTTTGTCAGTCGATTCAGATGGAACTCTGTATCATGGTCTGGCATTTCTGGTGCTTCTACTGACCCATTTCCCACAAGCCTGAACTTTCACACCTTTATCACAGTCACCTATGGACAGAAAAGTGAGAGAAACACAAAATAATCTAGCTTCTTTCATTCTGGAATCATAATATTTCAAATTTCAAAATGTATATGCATTTTTAATAAAAAACAAAAAAATACCAAATATAAATTCTAAAACAAATATCCACCAAAAAAAAAAGAAAGAAAAAAACTTTATATATATATAGAGAGAGAGAGAGAGAGAGAGACTGCTTATTATATTTTATTTTAGTTCTATTATTAATTTATTATGAAGCAAGGGGAGAGATTTGACTGCAGACATTTTCAAGAAGTGAATTAATTTGATCATGCAGCAGTGAGGGCATCTGACCCTGAGACTAAAGATGCATTCCTCAATCAACAGTTATTGAATGTATTGAAATTATTGAAAAAGTATGTTTTTTTTCATACCATATAGTTTTTTTATGAACAAACATTTAAAAGTGGACAAAAGTGTCTTTACAATAAAAATATGGAAAAATCTTAATAACCAGGACTAAAAATAAAAGGAAAATGCTCATCCAAAGTTCAACCCAATAAAATCTAAATGCCCTTTAAAAAGAATTAAAAAGAAAGTGCAGACCCACTCTGCTAACAATAAAATAAATAAATACATAAATATAAATAAATAAATAAAAACAACCATTGATGTTTGGCCAAATTCATGGTTGGTTTTTAATAAAGGTTTTAACTAAATGACTCTAAAATTGTCATGTGGTGTGACCAATTTACTTACTTACTTACTTACTTGCTTATAAATACCATGCATTATTGGTATCTATGATATAATTTGCTTTTTAATTTTTTTCTGCATGCTGGTTGGACCGCTGGACTTACCATACAATTTTTTGCACATATTAATAAGCAATCTTTTTTTTTTATCTAAAAAAAAAAAAATAATAATAATAATAGAACATTATGCCAAACTAAGGTTTTGCTCTTGAGAATGACATTTTTTAATAGTACATGTGTATCACCCTGACTTTAAAAAAAAATGCTCATTATAGAAGAGTTGAAATCGTGAATTCAAGTCATTTTATATGTGAACTGCTTAGATAGAGTGTTTTTGTGTATTTATTCATTTTACTGAAAAGTGTCACGTCATTGACCCAAATAAATAAATAAAAACAACCATTGATGTTTGGCCAAATTCATGGTTGGTTTTTAATAAAGGTTTTAACTAAATGACTCTAAAATTGTCATGTGGTGTGACCAATTTACTTACTTACTTACTTACTTGCTTATAAATACCATGCATTATTGGTATCTATGATATAATTTGCTTTTTTATTTTTTTCTGCATGTTTCTGCATGCTGGTTGGACCGCTGGACTTACCATACAATTTTTTGCACATATTAATAAGCAATATTTTTTTTTAATCTAAAAAAAATAAATAATAATAATAGAACATTATGCCAAACTAAGATTTTGCTCTTGAGAATGACATTTTTTAATAGTACATGTGTATCACCCTGACTTTAAAAAAAATGCTCATTATAGAAGAGTTGAAATCGTGAATTCAAGTCATTTTATATGTGAACTGCTTAGATAGAGTGTTTTTGTGTATTTATTCATTTTACTGAAAAGTGTCACGTCATTGACCCATATTTAAAAAATATTTGACGTGGTCAAACAGCCATATGGTCAGATTTATTGATAAGGATAACAGTTTCATGTTAGGCTACGTTTCACATGTCACATATAAGCATCCAAATCGATCGAAATCATATAAATAAATAATATATATAAATAATAATACTATAAATAATATAATAGAAGCGACAATCATGTAAAAGTCCAAAGGAAACATAAACAATGCAAGGACGGGGAAACGATCTAAATCTAAGCGAGGACAGACGGTGCGTTTTCAAATGACAGTAAAAGACAAGTGAACGTCAGTACATTGTTAACTCCCTCACCGATAAACTTCATCATTCGTACAGGACAAGAGGTCACTCACCTCACAAATGACTGCAGAAAGGCTTCTGTGGTTTGTGAGATGATAAATAGTATAATACGAAATAAAATCTCCCAGTGGACGAGACGGTGTGGATAAAGAAAAAGTGAGCGACAGGCGGTAATGATGAGACAGCCGCTGCCCAGCGCTCTGCACGCGCTCCTCCAGCTGTAAGAGCACTTAAAGACTCAAATAAAGGAAACAGGAAGACTTCGCGTCATTAAATCAGTGTGATGTAACGCAGTACCCACCAATAAGAGCAACTTGATGACCACACTACGAACCAAGCGTGATATTCCAATTGTGTATTCAAATTAATGCGCGTCTTTTTCCTTCATTTGACAAACCAGACTCACCCCAGAGTTCCGTCGGGTTTAGTCGAACAGACTCAATGCACAGACCTTAAGTGTTCCTTTAATTTTTTGTCGGATTCTGTTTCACAAAAGCCTAATGCTAGAACCAAACCACAAGGGCAAAAATAAGCTATATTTGGACCACAATGCGTTGCTGTTTAAAAAGTAATAGCCACAAATATGGCAGGTATTCAGAACATCCATTATGGAAATTTTGTCTGCTCCTTTTTGTCTTTTTGTCTTACTTGACTTATTTTTCTGCACCACAGAGCTGTGTGCCCATGGGAAAAAAAACAGCTTATCTTTATCTGGCAATAGACAAAAATATGAGGGATGATAATAACATTTTACAGTATGTGTCAGGATAATCAAATAACAACTTAACTTGGTTTCTTGTGGAAAAAGTACACACCTTTGCAATTAAACTCCACATTCAGTAGCAGTGTTCAGACTACACTAATATTAGTTAGTGCCTCCACTACAGTTTTGGTCACACAATTCCTCAACATTCTAAAATGTAGAAAATAGCCATAATAAAAAATAAGTAGATGGGACTATAAACTATACAATGTCGTGGCGTGCTGTAACCAAACAACACAAATATCCCATCTGTTTACAAAGTGAATCAAATATATGTATTTAACCATTTAAACAATTCTTGTTCTCATATATTTTCTTGGTTTGTAGAAAGGTTAGGTATATTGATTTTCCATGCTGCAAGTTAGTGGTTTTTGAGGATGACCGAATTCTGAGTGGAGCTTATTATTGCACTGAAGAACTCACTCTCATGTGTTTTGTCTTTTTAACAACAATCAGACAAAGATCTTGACAAACCCAAGGCCTGTTATGATGAGAAACTTGCATCATCAGATATAATAACTGTTTATTCAGAATAGAAATGTTCATTTTGAATACAGGTCATGATTGTGATCATTTGGGAAATGGAGAAAAGACCCTCGGAACAAGCAGCTGGTGAGTGTGCCAGTTGGAGACTGCCAGCCACACCGGCCCACGACCGAAATGAGAAAAGACTGTTCGAGAGAGAAAAACTGAGGGTCTGATGTCCAGCACACGTAATGGCCAACTAGCTGTTTATCTTCTCAACTCACATGCTTTCAATAAACACACACACACACACATACTAGAGTGCAATGACAGAAAGGCCACTAATCTGTGATGGTCATCATAGCAGATCTATCTATCTATCTATCTATCTATCTGGCTGTCTATCTGGCTGTCTAATTGCAGGCTATTTACACATTATGTGTCTTACTCCTGTGCTTTGATGTTCTCCTGACCTACTGATTGTGATCGCCAGACAGTATACTACAAACAGTACTCCAGCTGTACCTGTTATTTTCATAAAGACTAAGTGAAATAACATAGATAAGAGCGGTGCGTTTGTAGTACATGTCTGGTAATTATATTTGGCCTAACAGTACCTCATAGGTCTCTCTTTCATTTAGCCATCTATACAAGAAAGTAAAACGATATCTTGTAACAATCACAGCAGAGGATCAGTTGAAGCCTTGCCAGAATCAAATTTTTTATGGCAGCTAGACATCAAGACTACACTCTGGAAAATCCATTAACTTCAAAAATAACACCTATGTGAATCCATGCAAGAGTTAGTTTGCCCCAAAAAGGAAAATTCTGTAATCATGTATTCATCCTTGTGTTGTTTCTAAAGTGAAAAAGTCCATTTTACATTTAATTTGCAGACAGTGATTTAGATTTCTAAATTATTTTCTTTTTATTGTTTCCCACAACTGAAGCAATACATGAGTAAATTAATGCAAATGCTTTGTTTGTTTTTGCTGTTCTTTTCCATACAGTGAAAGCATATATTATATATTGTCCAGAAGCTGACAAGCTCCAAAAATAGATTGAGAATATTAACGTTTATGTGAACTCTTATTCTTTGCTTGGATCATAATCAGGACCAGAGCAAGTGATCACGTTACTCTAACTTTGAAATCTTTGCACTGGCTCTGGATATCGGGTTGATCTTAAAGTTCTTATGCTTACATACACTGCACTGCATGGCCTGGCCTGGCTCCTCAAAACCTGTCATTTTACACGGTTGATTTATTGTTTATGTATTTTTACTAGTTTGTGATGTTTGCATTGCTTAACATGTAAAGCACTTTGTGTTCAAGGTACTATATAAAATAAAGTTGATTTTGATTATTTATCAGAGGAATCAGATACAGGCTCATTTTCAGATGTTTTAGTGTTAACAAATGTATATGTAAGTGTATTATTTTTCACTTTGTGGCATAGCAGTAGCATAGTAGAGATTGTACTCTAATCTTGCCCTGAGCCATCAGCCTTCATTCTCAT